ATTTAGATAACATTTTTCAAGAATTTGCATCAATTAAATCAGACTTACAAGTAGAATATTTTTATAACAGGGTTGTATTTCTGGGTAAATTTGGTCATATATGGTGTTTGCTGCTATGATAGTAATATGAATATTTATACCTCATCTGCATGCATTTAGGATATAACTGAGCTTTGAAAGTCATGCGCCCCTTTTTGCTAGCACATTCACTGGAGCACATAACCATTCTCTGTAGGGTGCTAGCTAGGTTTCATGACAAATTTGAATAAAGGTTCTTGGTATTTTTAGAAAAGGGAGTAAATTACGTACTTTCAGACTGGGATGTGACTCAACATTTAATGGACTGTAGTTTGAATGCAGTTTAAAAATTTCAGGAATGAAGTTGTTAACAATGACCTTGTTTGGAATAAGTGACATGCCTAGTTCTTTTAAGGGCTTTGATGAATAAGTGGAAATTTACTGCAGTGTCAGAGAGCAGGCTCTTCTCTTCCCTCATATAAGTGCTTCTGGATTGGCACTTGGTTTGTAGGTATACAGTTGAAGCAATTGCAAATTTGGCATTAGTTCTGAAAGTCTGAATTTACTGCTAATGCAGAAGGGCAGGTACATGGAAAAGGTAATTGTACATGAAAGTGAACCAATGTCTGTTCTGTATCCCTCCACTCCACCACAACAGTGCCTGCCCAGAGTACAACACACACAGGTGTAGTATGTGTGTATTAGGGCCTTCTCTGCCCACTATGCCAACACCATCCACAGTTTTTGGAAGCCATTGACTGTTGACAGTTTTTTCCCTTTTCTCATAGTTTCATTTCTCATCTTTTCATTCTTTAGAAGTCAGCTTTTCAGTATTTGTAATATGTATCCTCAGAATTTATGCCTTGAAATTTGGTATGCAAAATTTGGCTTTTGGTGTGGGTTTAGCGGTAGAGTGGGTCTTCCAAATGACTTAGATCAGTCAGCAGGACAGGCAGTAAGTGTAAGTGGCAGCAGCAAGACCCAGATCACAAACAGCATTGCGGCACAGGGGTGCAGGGTATATTCCTGACTGGGCTACTCCTATTGACCGTCAAATGTTTCTTCCGCCACTCAGTCGGTCAGATCGAGCGTGTCTTCATGTCAGCCGGTCACCAGAAGGTCTGGGACCACTTCACCAAGGCCCAGAGACGCAACATTGAGATGTGGAAGAAGCAGGCAGAGGTATGCCATGCCTCATGTACACCCATTCACAGTGTATGCTGCCAATAGTGCAGAAGCATTATTTATCAGTTTTGAAATATAACTTCCTTTTCCAGCAAATTCGGTTAGCATTTTTCTGTGAGTGGTGTGTATTTTGTACCATGTTCATATTATTATAAAAATGAATTGGTACAAAGCATGAGGTCTTATTTTTATAGTGAAATCACCCACTAGCAAAGTTTCTTCAGAAAATTAGCTTTAAAGTTTACCTTTTGTCCTCCTCTCTATAGTTTGCATATTTATGATACAGTCCCTACATGATTCTCACATCTTTAGTTTGGAGATAAAGTGTTCTTCCTTTGAAATCCCTGATGTTGAAGTTGTAAGTAAAGTTTTATTTTTTGCTAAAAACTGATTGAAGCTTTGCATAAAGAGTGAGCAAAACTTGTGCTGATACTTTGTTGTGAGTGGGCTGAAAGATTTTGTATTGTAGTTTTTAAGTGTTAACTGTTTATTCTTGGCCCATTTAGAATAAATAAGCATACAGTTTTGCAGATGCAATCTAGTTGTCACTATATATATGCAAACAGGTAAAACTTGCATGTAGCCCTGGAGAGATAAGTAATAATGCAGCCCTGCAGTGTGCATGGGTCTAGATTGGTCATAAGATCCATTTTGGCTGGGCAATCCACGTGCATGCTGCAGACCTCAGGCTATGCATGCCTCAAGTTCGGTTAGACTTTGTGGAAAAGTCACTTGGTAAGACAAAAGGAATGGTTGAAGGAGCATGGTTGCCACTGCAACTATGATTTGGCAGGCAGTAAAGGACCAATCTGGTGCAGAGCTCAGCATCATTGCATTCAAGTCTATTATTGCCCTTTTTAATCAGTACTGCTTTATGAATAGTTCTTTTTATGCAATCTAAGGGATCCTTCACCATGGCAATGCCCATTTGTTTTAGCTTTTGTAGATACTTAAAATTTAAAAGTAAAATTTACTCTTTGTAATTAGGAGGCACCTAAAGAGGAGAAAACATTAGGTAAGTTCACTAATCTTGTGATAAAGTTAAGGCTTTAACAAGGCATCCATGGATAGGATTCTGTTGTCAGCTGCATCCAGGAGTTAAGTTTGATGTGTACATCATGAAATGACACAAGTTTAAAGACACTGATTGTGATGGTCTCATTAGCTCCCACGTTCTTACATTGTATTCGTATGGAGTAGAAAAAGGAGTTGAAAGGTAGTTCTTCTTTTTAGAATGGAAGTTTTCAGTGAGAACAAGATACTCTCAGGATGTTTCAAGTCAGGACAAATGCTAGAT